AATACTAAATTGGCACAAAGACAAAATGTTTAAAACTAAATTGACACCAAAACAAAGTTTAAAACTAAATTGACGCCAATACAATAGGTTTAGAACTTTTCTGACACTTTTTTCAAATACAAAATTATCTGGACCTAGCTTTCCAAAAGTCTCTCAACACAAACGCGCGAAAATTGGAACATTGTTTGAACGATGGCATAAGTTTATATAAGGACAATGAAGCAATGTGTCTCGTAAATGAACACACCATTGGATTGGACAAAAGATTTAATTTCCAAGGGTCGTGTTTGTCTGTAAAGTTAACATTTATTAAGAAATTTCGATTGTTTAATCACAACTTTTCGTCATTTCCGAATTTTCGCAAGAAAAAGAAAAAAGAACAGGCTTTTAGAGACAAGTCAAGCCCATACATGATACATCCAAATGCCCAGTCAAGATTAATCAAGCCTGTCCAATGCACAATGCCACTTGCGAGCCCATGACTTCAAACAATGCTTACATAGGCGTTATCATATTTAAACCAAATAATTTCCTTCTATTTTTCTTATGTGGTGCTCTTTTTCCACTTTACAAACTCTCCAACAATTGTCTCAGTCTCTAACTCGATGTCCTTGATATGCGATCACTTTAGTTTAGTAAATAGGAAATTCTTGCCCACACCCAAATTTTATGGATCAAGTGCAATTATATCAGTTTGATTTGTGTTGAACTCGCATGCTCAATAGAAGTAATAGACTCGAGATTCAGGCAAAATTTTTCCAATAAAATGATTCTAAGTAATATCATTTTCCCGTTCAATAACTTAATAAGAACGGTATCTCAATATCGCTCCAAGCAAGTGTTTGGGCACACTCGGAATATAGCTTCTTTGTCTCGAGACCTGGCGCAACACAACAATGGAATTAGGGATGGGCACGGGGTGCGGCAAGGCTGGGACCATGTTGCCCATCGCTTCTTCATGCAAGGGGAACTATCATATCGATTTTATAAAATGAAATGTCCTGCTCATTAATAGATTTTTTTTTTTGGTCGAATCTCATTAATAGATTAAGTCGATTTGTCTTTCTTAATCCGGCAAATTCTGACTCCACAAGTCAACTTAATCGAGTAATGTGTAAGCCCGAGGTGATTAATTAATTTTAAATAATTTTCTGGCACAGTACCTGTCTAGAAAAGGACAGAGTGTCCATATTACGATCGAGTAAAATCTTGAAGATTATTTCTTGAAAAGTCAGACATTCTTGTACGGATATATGACTTCGGAATCATCGAAAGACAGAGGAGAACTGGTCAAAGTTTAAGAAAAGAACAAGGCAAGACGTGGGTTGTACGTAATCGACGAATTCCCTATTAGGTTGATAGTCAAAGACCCAGTTTCGTTCAACAACTCATTGCATGGAATGCAGCGGAACAAGGAAGGATATAACATCATGCTTTGTCCTCGACATATTGCCCTGCTGTGAAATCTCTTTCGTTATCGATGGTAGATCCGAAAAATTTGGAGTAATGTCAGATGTGCATTGGGAGCGCGCAGCAGACACCCGATATCTTTACGCGGAAAGATCGCCAACAGAGAGTCTCAAATTCGAGTCCGTCAACATATCTAGTTGGACCCATTCTCTCAATGATATATTGAATAATTATGATATATTAACTGCTCCACATCACATCAATTTTTCAAATTGGAACTTCTTCAACACAATTCACACTTACATCTCAATAATGTGTTAAGATCGGTATACAAAAGTACCATACAACTCAAGAGATGTTACAAAATGTCATTAGCTATGTAAATAAATGGGACATGTCAAATGAGGATCGGATAACAAATTGACGAACACATCACTAACCAACGTTGATTTCGACATGACCCAAAACCTTGATTATATCAAGTAGGCGATTGTACAAAAATTGCACCATCCTCCATTGATATAGCTACTTGTGGAACGGTTAGTCTTGTGGCACCCAAAGAGGCTGACAAGTCATTATCAAATCCTTTTGATCGAGAAATATCTTCGTGGAACGTAGCATGGATGGGTGGTACTTGAGAAACATGAAGGGCCTTTTCAGACATGCAATTTGATTCTGTCCCCAGGCCTTTTCGGGAAATCACCTGTTCTCGATGCCCGGATTGAGCCTCCTCAGCCAAATTGAATGTACAATCACTTGAAACACATCGTACGCATCTGCACTGGCATCACTTCCTCAAACCCGGTATATCGTCCGCTGCAACCCCGACCGAGAACTCGCCCCAGTCCAGCGCGTTGCTGAAAGGAAGTACGTAGAGCTTGGACATCATTAGCGGGATGCACCCCGCATATATGCCTCGGCATTCCTTGGGCTCGCCACCTCGTGGCTGCTCTGGGCATATGCAGTACTTGCTTGTCCTTATCGTCCCGCGGTAAGAGATCCCCTTGGGGATCCCCTCGTAGACCCCGACGTCGCCGTCCTTTTCCTTCCAGTGCCGCAGTAGGACTGGCCCAGACGCGGCCGTACGCCGGGCTGGCAAAGAAAGCCAGCAAGGTGCGGTCCGATGTCCCGGGCTTGGAGGTTGATTTTGGGGAACGAGGCGTCTTTCTTAGGGTTGAAGTGCTCGAATGTGTTAGCATTGCATTGGACTCTAATGCCCTTGGACCCTGTAACAAAGCCAGAATTAAGTATAAATATAAAAGATTATGAGTTAATTAAACGATCTTAATCAATGTAATTTTTGTGTATATACTCTACTTATTTCATTCACTAAAAGTTATGTCACCATGATCTATGTTTAGCTTATAATCACGTCGAAGCAATGTGATAATCTGATTCATTCTCAGAGTCACCCAGTTTTAGATAGAAATGCTTTACATATTATTTAGATTAGCTGAAATAATTAACGGTTCTACTTAGCATGATGCCTGAGGGTAAAGGGACGATTACCAAATTTTTTTTTAACTTATTGCACTTGTGCCAATTCAGTTCCAAACCTTTCACTTTGGCCAATTTGATCATAAACCTTTAGACAATTTGCTAATGTAGTCCTTCCAGCCGAAATTGGCTGAAACCCCTGACGTTTATGCCGACTATTCTACGTGACACGGTCGGCCGCTAACGTGAACAATCTTTATAATTTTTAAATAATTTTTCTGAATTTTTTTCCTTTTTTATTTTCGCCTTTTCCTTTTTCCTTTTTTCCTTTTTTCTTTTTCTGAACTCATGTCTGCATATATATTTGTGCAATTAAGCATGGTTAAATGAAATCGATATTAGATATGCTAGCGAAAATAAAAGGGACGTTTACCATTTTGAAATGAAATCAAGTCATCATAGGTATACGGCTATACCTATGTGTATCAATGAATTTTATCCTCTGACTTGTTTTATTTGTGCAATTTGATCCTCAAGCTTTGTATTTGTGCAATTAAATGAAAAGGTGACGTATGGCCGCTTATTCTTTTTACGCATGGCGCATGTAATACCTACTCGCCTCACCACCCCACGGAAAGAACGAACGGCCTTTGCCGAGGTAACCATAAGGGTATGCATAGTAGATTCTCTCCCATGTACATTTTGATGGAATTCGACATAATTGCACAAACCAATCTAAAGAGCTTCATCGTACTAAAAATATCTGGATGATTAGATACGAACGAAAAGAATGTAGGGGGACCAAATCCCATCCTCATGTGGGGTATACATGTTACTATGTTAACATTATTATGCCTGATTTATTTCATGAAAAATCTGACATTTCTTGAAAATGTGCACCAAGAAATCATTTTCTAGAAAAACGATAGTATCTTCCGGTGTTTGAACCTGGTTTGAGCCCAACTATTTGCTCATGTTTTCGGTCCTAGCTCACTCCTCCTTGTTCATTATCTTTCATCTGTTATTTCCCCTACTTCGTCGTTCACAGCAAGAATCATCTCTTAATTTTAGGTAACAACTCAGCTATGGCAAGCCACACAAACTCAGTTTGACGCTAGAAATCATGGAAAGCCACACTTCTCTAGAATTCTAGATGACTGATCAACCTTGACTGCGGAAATTTCTCGCCGCCTTTTCTCTGTTTTGTGATTGTTGACAGGTTTGGTATGGAGTGCGTGGCTGCTTGTTTCAAGTGGTATCCATGGAGGTAAAGGGTTGGGTTTCGGGTGGTGGTGGTAGGGGTTTGCGACCTTTGATAACGAGGTTGGTGGCGGCTATGGGTTGTGAACGGTGGTCACTGGTGGCTGTTTTGCGGGTGTTGGACTGTAGCAAAGAAAATGGTGGTGGCAAACGGCGGCGGCAGCGGCTGTGAATATAGAGAATCCGGCGGTGGCGTCGAATTGTTCCTATTTTGCAGTCGATCGTGGTGGTGGGGAGATACAACGAGTATGGTGGCGGTGGTCGTGCGACGTGGGACGAATGGCGGTGCATGTTTGCAAAGCTAAGAAGACGGGCGGTAGTGCGTGTTTGATCCTTTTCTTTCTTATTTTCGCTAGATTGGGCAAGCTTCAAGCCTTGCGGACCTCTGGCGAGCTCGAGCCTCACCGGCCTGTGGCGAGGCTCATCCCTCGCCTATGGCCGGTCGCCAGTCATTACTCGGCCGAAGAAGAAGATAAAAGAAAAAGAACAGAAAAGTAAATAATTAAAAAGGAAAGAAAAGAAAAGAATAAAAATAAAAAATAAAATAAAAATAATTAAAAATTTCGAATATTTTGATAATTTTCCTTAAGAAAATCAAATCTAATTTTCCATACAAAATAACGAAAAATATTTTTCAGATCAATTTCAAGTTTCAGCCAAACACTCGAAAATATTGTCATTTTCCTAGAAAATATTTTTCAGAAATGCTACATTTTTCGCGAAACAAATGGAGTTTTAGCGATAGCTCATTAGCCTCCACGTCAAGACACACTTAATATATTTGGTACCTCGTCATTCATCTGCATATAAAAAAATATTGGTCATGATTTCAGTACTCTTTATCTTGGAGACTCCAGCAAAGTCAAAATCAGAGAGGACTAGTCTTGGTCATAGCACGATCACACAGTTCGATTTCGATCAAAACAGGCAATTAGATTTTTATTCATTTTCCAAAATTGCTCGCGTAAAAAAAACTCATCACATTGATGTTGTACTCTTATATAAGTCATCATTTCATCGTCGATCCTACATGGGGCAGCACCCGGGCCCGGGGTATGGATCCCCGAGGTAGACTATTTCACGCTGCGGGCACGGCCATATGACGGGCGGCACCTCCTTCGTGTCATCAGTATTCTCTTTCTCCTCTTCTTTTTTCTTGTCCTCGCTCACTGAGACTATCTCCGCGAACCCGACTTTCTTCCTAAGCTTAGTGTTGAGGTCCACTGCGTCGACATCTCCGGTCACCTCGATCTGGTCCTTGTCGCCCATCAGTTTCACGGATTGAACTCCTGGGGTGAAAACCAACACGGATCGATTTTGAAATCAAAAGAGGTTCTTTTCTTCGTCTCGCAACACCTAAAATAATTTATAGAAGATGCACCTAATTGGTCATCGAGATATAGAAGAAGCATCTAGCAATCACCTGAAAAGCCAGCCGTAAGTTTCAAAGCTTTAGATTGAGGGTCTTTTGGGCAGAAACAAAAGAAACTTGAGGTGTCACCGTTCATAGACACCTTGATCACGATCTTCTGCTTGAAAAAAACAGATCAAGAAGGTGAATCAGCATGCGACATAAGGTGAATCAATTCATGATTTTCTCGCGATGTTACCTTCATGGTGCTTGCTTCGAATAGGAATTTGGAGAAATTTTAAATTCTTCGATTTGTTCGAAAAAATTTCGAGAATATATTGGAGGAGGGCTGAAGATGAACTGATGTACCACCCTCTATTTATAGCACGATCTCCTTCGAAGAAGGCTGGGCACATAGAATAGTCAGAAGTCAAACATCTTCTAACAGTAGGTCTTCGAATTTTTGGCTTTATTATTGTTATTTTCTTTAAATCTGCCCCCACCATTTATACGCCTTACTACTCGGTGACATATGTTTTAGGGATTATTATTATTATTATTATTATTATTATTATTATTATTATTATTATTGTGAGTATACATCACGGTAGATAAAAATTATATTCACACATGGAGTTAACCAAATAAATGACTACGTGTAAAAATTCATGCATACATATTCAACATTTGGACCCTAAAAAATTTGTGGAAATTCGACAAATTAAAAATAACTTCTCTCCTAGAAAGGCTTCCCCAAATTGACTCTTAACAACCAAAGTCTTCAGTTATCGTCGTGATCTAAAATTTCTACACGTCATTGAATGGAAAGTAAAAGTGTTCTGTGGAAGAAGAAGCCTCGAGTGAAACTTCTGTGATCAATCCTGGAATTTAGGGTTAATCAGGGAGAGTTACGTATTGTCCCCAAAGTATTTGGGATTGTTGCAAATTACCCCCCGACGTTTCAATTTTGCAGTTTGTCCCCTGAAATTTAGAAATCGGTTGCAATATGTCCCTTGGCGTGACTCGGACCGAAGTTTTCTTGGGGGTTGGACCACGTGATGGCACATGACTGATACTGAGGGAAAATTCGTCATATGCATATATACATTAAAAAGTAGTGGAAGAATAATTCAACAATATACTACTTGTGAGAGCATGCTTCAAAAGTTCCGAAGAGAATTTGATCGAAATCATCTCCAATTACATATATCAATATATAGTTTTGAAATATACTTTTGAGTATTCCCTATATTTTTTCCCTCCACATACGTAGATTGGTATATGACCAATTTTCCTTTCATACGTGCAGTCACCTGATCAAGCATGTAATAAAATTTGGGTTGGAGTCAATGTTAGGGGGCACATTGCTACCAATTTTAAAAAAAAATCTGGGGGCAAATTGTAAAAACCGAAACGTCAAGGGGGCAATTCGCCACAATCCCAAAAAACTTTGGTGGCAAAACGAAACTCTCCCGGTTGATCATCACCTTCACTGTCCACCATTCCCCTGTCCCTATCAGTGACTTGAGAATTTGAAAACAACGGGGTGAGTGGACAAACCTACGGGAAGGTATGACAGGACAAAGCAAGGGTCGTCAAGAGAAAATCAACGGAAAATTCGTGCTCAATCAAAAGTAATATTAATTAAACTTGCGGCTATATATCTACACACACATATAATATATATAGTCACGGATTTGACGCCTAGGTTTGTTTTATTTATGCAATTTGATCCTCTAGCTTTCTTTTCTCGTGCAATTAAATATGTTTACATGGAATAGTGATGTGACGGCTGCCTACTTGTTATTCTTTTTTAAGTGGCCAAGTTAGTCGATTGCGAAATTTCGCTTATTTATTTTGTATAGTCATTTTTTGTGTTTCTAGTCGATGGAGAAAAGTCTTGCAGAAATGGTTGCATGAATTATATCTCTAATTGACGTCAATCCAAATCGCCAAATCTCGGAAGGATATATAGCGACGCTTGTTTCTCTTTCTTGGTTGAAGCTACCTAAAGGAATCGTTACATATTTGAAATTTTCTGGCCGAAGGGTGTGGAGAGGGACGATGGGCGAGGTTTAATCTTGTACTAACGATACATCACGTTGTATCTCGTGCAACCGGTGAGACATGGTGGACACAGTCAATAATATTAGCGTTAATAAGGTAGAAATGTACATTTTGCCGTGCATCGTGCATCGTGGGGGCTGCTTCTACAATTATATCGCTCTTGAAATTTACGAAGGCAAGCCTTTTGTAGCAACTGTAATGAGTCTCGAGGTACAAGGATAGATCAAAGGACGAAAGAAAAAGCTACTGAGATGTCCCAAATATCTGTCTTTAGGTTATGGTGCGATCACTATTCCGATTATATCACATAATCATCACAGGTCTGTCTTTCTGCATGCATGCATCATTATTGAGTTGGCAGTAAATTTTATCTGGCACAAATAAACCCTAAAGAAATCTCTCTCTCTGAGCGCGCGCACGCAGCCTTCAATTGATGCTGATGCCCGGCATTGATGACCACAAATCGACCTTCTCTATGATCGCTAGACGCCCACGACCTCATATCAATCTTGATTCAAGGTCGCGGTGGCTCGGATGCAGCATGAGATGGAGATGCTCGAATCTGGGGTTGATGTTTTATTCAGCAACTAGACCCGCGAACGATGATGGCAAAGGCTGCAACAGAGCCGAGTGTTGGAGACGGCATGGACGTGACAGCCATGGTGGTGGAATGCGGTGATGGTTGAAGAACATAGGTTCAGCACAAGGGAGGGGAAGAGTGGTGGCTAGTTATTTTCTTTCAAAAAGTTGAAAATGCCGAGGGTAATCAGCACTGACTACCCTCTCTAAACGATATTACAAGGGTCTCACACCCACAATAGAATGTTCGATATGAGTCACAATTACTCCGAACCACTCATAACCCAAAAGACTAAGGTTGGCGAGTCTATCGTTGCAACCCAACCAAGATACTAACAATAAGAAAGTCTTTCCGCACGAAGTGTGTCGCAACTAGGTAACGCAACTCCAATCGTTCAGATATTCACTCATAACGTGATTTGAACTCGTGACCTCGTAGAAGACAGGTAGGTCTTTTAAATAGACTGACAGAATTTTCTCCAATCGAGGACATTCCCAATATTTAATTGTTTAAAAAATTGAGAGTATCTAGATTGCTTAGCTCTTGGTTGAAGTTGAATTCTCTTAGTCATGAAAATGAAATCCTCCCACATGCCATGGGATTCGTTTCACACTTGGCAAAAGCATACAATTTATTAACTATCACCAACTAAAGCTCCCAGAATTGACTGATAAACCCGTGATTTGATCAATACAGCCAATGCATGGGCCAGTGAAATTTCTTAGCTCCGTCTTGGAAAGGGTCGTGGCCTTCCATTTCTTATAGGGTCAGTCAGCATAGACTTCTTGGGAAATGGACAGATCAATGAGCTTCCAATCATATGTCGTAGCCCGCAAATTTGGAAAAAGGCATAACAAGACAAGAGAGGGATGGTTGCAAATACATTGTTAATCGATTAGTCGTCTCCCGTGGTAAATACTTCAAAACACAAACCCCCAAATGACTTTTAGAGGAGAAAATTTACATTAGTGAAATAAAACAAGACTTGCTTAGCCGTCTCGTTGTTGACTTTGAGATATTGTTTTTATGTAGCAGATAAAGAAGCAAGTTAAAATACGAAAATTTCCGGACCCAACTTTCCAAAGTTAACTGTACATTTACAAACACATATCATACTAGACCGCTTACAGACATCACACTTACATCTACTCTTCCACGGGAGTACCAAGACTAAATGATATATCTTACTCCTATTATTCGTGGCTGTTGTAAGAAAAGTAGCACTGAAAAGCAGAATATGTTCGGTTAAGGGATGCCCGCACCCACTTTCCTAAGGCGATAATGCCCCTGGGATACAACCTAACTTCTCGAACCCTCTCGACACGGATACGCGAAAATTGGAATGATATTCCGAATGAAAGGATATGTTTATGTAATAAGAACGACGAAGACATGTGTAACATAAACAAATGCAACCATAGAATTGGATAGAACAGTTAATTTCTAATAGGCATGTTTGTCTAAAAAAATTAACCAGTTACTATAAAGAAATTTCGGAATTGTTCATCGATATCTTAATAAGAATGGTGTTTTAATATCGCTCCAAGCAAGCGTACTTGCAATATAGATTCCTTGTCTCAAGACTTGGCACGAGGCTCCGTCGAATCACTGCAGCGGAATTTGGGATGGGCACCGGGTGCGACGGGGCAGAGGAACATGCTGCTCATCCTTTCTTCGTGAGAGGGGAACTGTTATGCCAACACGTCCTTTCCATCAAGACTTTTAAGTCAATTTTGATGTAGCTAGTAAGGATCACCTAGAGGGGGGTGAATAGGTGATCTAAAACAATTTTTGATAATTTATGCGGAAACAAAATAAATCACGTAAGAGTCTCGAATAAGATACGATTTAAGACGCATTATATAGACAAGGTTCTTGATGTGCGAATGTAAAGTAAGAGATAAGGGATAGAAAATCTGCACACAAGTTTATAGTGGTTCGCTTATAGCAAGCCTACGTCCACTCTCCCACGCTTACGCCTACCTACTGGATTTCACTATGTAATCAAGAGGAATTACAACTTCGAGTGTTAACACTCTTGTGTATGATAGGACTCTCTATCTCACACAGTCACTCTTACAAAGTGTCCCTCAAGATCTTAATGTTTGGCTTAGAACGACAAGAGAAATGATTGGAGTATGCTCAGACTTTGGACTTGTTGATTCTTGATTCTGTTCTTCCTTCTACTGCTCGTTGATCCTCTTAAATACTCCTCTACTAGCCGTTGGACAGCTTTCAGAGGATCATCTTCCAATTTTCACCTTGGACAGATTTGTATAATAGGGATTGAGTAGCCGTTGGATGATAGATTCTGAATCCCGCTGATTCTGGTCGAACATACAATCAGAATCTTGGTTTCCATAAGTAGAACTTTGTCCGTTGTAATGCATTCTTGTCGTGATGTTTGATTGTCAATCAATTTGATTTAGATTGAGACAATCGAACATTCCTTCCGTGAAATCCATGTCGATCACTAGTCGTTGTGTTTCGTTCGAATTTCGGCTCAAGAAATTCTAAGTCCGCATCTCAAGAACTTCGTCGCATCTCGAATAATTTT